CCCCCGAATCTACGGCCCCGAGTCCTTATCCGGTGATCCCCGATCTCCCATCGTCGCCCTCTGAATTGTATTCCAAACCCCCGGAGCTGAAGAAGGACGTTCGTTTTGGAGCGGACGATTAATGGCTTCTCCAAAAGTTCGATGCTCTCCATGGAGGTCCTCAACTCGCGGGAGCTGCTACTCTCGCTCGCCGAGTCGATCGCCTTTCACCGGCTGCCCAATTTGGAGACGCTGGCCGTGATTACGAAATCCAAGGGAGCGAACGCTTACTGCCCAATTTGGTTGTCTCTTCCATCAGGGGAGCTTCTTCTAGGGAAGGTAATTTAAAAACTACTTTAAGATAATATTAATCTTTAAATGTTGTGTTAGCGTAGAGATTGTGGATTGTAAAGATAATGTGATGGTGTAAACCCACAGGATACTGCCATTTGTGTATAATGTCATAGTGTATGTCATCCATTATGTTTGGGTAGCTGGGCAGGTAACTTATTTATTTTCTTGCTCTGGCTACATAATAATCTCACTTGGCATGTTATGCTTACCAGTTACTCAAAACTAAATCTTGCTAAATTTAAGCGAGGCTCATGGCCCTTTTTGCCCCGTATTTTTTTTTGTTATAATCTGTTTTTAGTTTTTGGGTGCATAGGAAATCACCAATTTGGGCAGACCTTCTCCTTGCTTACTGTTTTCTGGCAAAACCATGGGAGAAGATAAAATATCGTTGAATGTTTTATAACAAATCTAAAACGCTTTAGCTTTTACTAAAAACTGATACATAACTGATGTCACAGAAATGTCAATACCTAACTGTTGATTGAACTAGATGCTTCATATACTCGTAAAAGAATTGTCATTTTTCTTGCTAAAACTTTGTGGATCCTTTATCAACTTATCAATACCCAGTATATTCCCAACTGGTTGGGGTCTGGGGGTCAGTTGTACGCAGACCTTACCCTTGTAATTAACGGTTAAAATGGATCCTTGAAACTGACATTTTTTTTTGCTCCAATTTTCTTCAGGACAATATTGTTGTGTTTGTCGATTAAAATAGGAAACGTCTTCAGGAAGGCAGGATTTGCTGGTCAGAGGCTCCTACAGGAGTTGTAGAGAAGCCATATGCAATAGGTCCAAGACACATTGAGGTTTACTCCTAACTTTTCCCTGTAGATTGAATAAACTGCTTTAGAAATTTTGACTGTTGTAAACCCGTATCCACTGATTCAAACAGTTGTTGTCCGCAATGGTCGTCGGATACTTCAAAGCACCCACGTAATCATTGTCGCTCTAGAAAACTCTATTTATGGCTTGTTTCCTGTTCCTCTTGGCGCACAGGTATAGTTCATTCTTTCAAAACCTTGGTCCCATCCATATAATTAAATGTTCGTAATGGACATCGCATCAGTTTTGTAAGGACATAAACAAGTCTTGTGCTAATAATCTTGTCAGTCTTGCCATTCTTAGATCTCAAGATTTATTCTATAATATATCATTAGATTGAATCAGGACTTTGTATGCTCATTTACGGAGTTGCTAATTGTGGAAGTGATATGGTCTGTAAAGTTATGATATGAAGTAATATAAGATTTAACGTTATCCGAATGTTAACGTGAACTACATCAATAGATACACTCATATGCCGAAAAATTCTTTTCATGTGATCTTACTGGAAATTGTAAGTTTGAAGTACTTCCTGTAGCAGCTTTTTTTTTTTTTTTTTTTTTTTTTTTTTTTTTTTTTTTAAATGAAGATTACCATACATTTGTAAAATGCAAAATTACAATTGAGCATGGAATAACTTCTTGAAACAGCTGCAATATTTGACATGAATGTGTGACCTAGCGGCAGATATTTGGTGTCTTTGAAAATGCAGTGACTATCCCATATTTTTGTCATCCAGATTGTACAACTAACAGCTTCAGGCAATTTTGAGGAAGCATTGGCTTTGTGCAAATTACTCCCTCCTGAGATTCAAACTTCGAGCTGCAAAAGAACAATCAATTCATATTAGGTACTTTTGTATCCTTGTTCGAATCTCATTTTCTTCCTTGCTTTAGCATATTAAATGTTGATATCCAGATATGATTTGAGCATAAAACCTACACTTTCATAACTTCGGAAAACAGATCATACCTTTTTTTTAGTTTGATTAAAATGCCTACGTTGGCACGTTACTGCTGGTGCTAAAAGGGATTTTACTGCTATGCTAATTTAGCACATGCCAATAATTTGACGTTCCATTGTACAGTTACACTCACTATTTGTTTGAAAATGGGAGCTATGAGGAGGCCATGGAACATTTTTTGGCTTTTCGGGTGGAGATCACTTACGTTCTTTCTCTGTATCCATCGATCATTCTTCCCAAATCATCTGTTATACCTGAACCAGAGAAATATATGGATATCAGTGGAGATGCTCTGGATCTCTCAAGAGGTTCCTCTGGCATGTCAGATGATATGGAATCTCCACATCCTCATGCATTGGATTCTGATGAAAGTGCGGATATTGAATCCAGGAAAATGAACCACAACACTCTGATGGCTCCATTAAGTTCCTTCAGAGGAAGTGATTTGGTATTGTTGAAAAGGCTGCTGCGGAGGGAACTGATGAGGCAGTTTCAGATGCTGTAGGAAATAAATTTGTTTCTTATGGTAGCAGTCGGCCAAAGAAACAAAACAAGGTTAGGGTTTTGATTTTGAGACACTAAACAAATTAGTTACCTGTGAGGCACTTCTAGGTGTCTTCAGTCTTCATCATGTTCAATGGTTTTAGAGCTTTCGTAATGTGAATTTGGTATGGGTTTGAACTGTAGTTTACTTTAGTAAAATTTGGATCATGACCTCGGGAAAATCAGCTGTTGTTCAAGGTTTGTGCATGGACTTTGTTTTTCTTCCACAGATTAGCTTTTCTGAAGGTACTCCAGTATCTTGTTTGTTATAATGCCCCACACATAAACAAGTGTTCGGCTGTTTGTAATTAAAGGTGCGTATTGCATGTTGGCTCTGGAATGTGTCTTTATTCTGAATATGTGTGCTGGCAATCTGTTCTGCTTGTTAACGCCTTATATGTCTCATGCATCAGAGTTCTAAATGAAAGCAAATGGGTAATAAGTACTCCAATTTAAATATTTTTCTGCTGATTCTTATAGATTTTTAACATTCCTGGTTGTATCAGGTAGCCATTTACTTTCTGTTTTCAGCATTAGATACAACAATTGTTTTGATGGTCATCTGATTGTGGTTTTTCTCGATCTCATAGGGTCGAACCAACACATATATCAGCTCAGTTGCTAGAGACACTGCAGCTATATTTGACACGGCATTACTTCAGGCTCTTCTATTGACCGGAAAATCTTCTGCTTCTCTGGAACTACTAAAAGGTCTTAATTAATGTGACGCAAGAATATGTGAGGAGTTTTTGCTGGAAAGAAATCAGTATGTTTGTCTACTGGAACTTTATAAATGTAATGGGATGCACCGTCAAGCACTCGAGCTTCTACACAAGTTAGTTGAAGAGTCAAACTCAAGTAATCCACCAGCTGAGCTCATGCGGAAGTTCAAGCCTGAAATGATTATTGATTATCTCAAAGTAACTCTCATTTTCATCAAGACTCTATTTATGGTTTTATAAATCTATTTCTGAACATGTAAACAAAGCGTTCATATAAAAAAAAAACTTTGTTTGTCTGAATAACTTTGCTTTTAACTCTTGCAATTAAAATTACCAATTTCTGAAGATTCATTACCAAATAAGTAGACACCTAGATATATCTTACCCTTTTTTTTTTCCAATCTTGTTTGAACATATTCTCAGTACAATCTTTACACTATATGCTGACTCTTTATGAACACCTTAATCGGTTAATTTGTTCTTCATTTGGTGGGCTTATAAATATTATGATATAATGCATTTGAAACTTTAGTGTTCCATTGACCAACATTATTGTTACAGCCACCAATTTGATAGTGTTGTAACAAGGTAGTGCAGCATATAGATGATGGACCTTTGTTAGCTTGTTATCCTGTATGTTCTCTCGGAAGTGCATTAATTATCTGTTTCTAACTATTGTTTGAAATAGATGATTTATGCAATCATCCTGAGATTCATAAAAACGTTTGAAATTAGAATTACCAGTTGACCACTACCCTTGCACACCACGGATATTTAACGCAAGAAATTTACTTGTTTAAAAAAAATATGAGATGCAAACTATGCCCACTTCCCTTTCTTTATGGAGCTAATATGATTGTCCTTTTGTTTTTTGGAAGTTCTATTATGTACGTTATATTAACATAAGGAGCCTTGCTTGAGAATTTAAAAAATTGAGACCCTGCATGCTTCTGCAGATTAAGCAGCATGGTTCTACTGCAGCAGTGTCGACTTTATATTACTGTAGGCTTATACTAGCTTCGTCTACTGTTCTTTTTTTTTTTTGGTCTTTCTCAGTCCCTCTGTGGCACTGACCCTATGCTTGTCCTGGAGTTCTCAATGCTTGTTCTCGAGAGCTGCCCTACACAAACTATTGATCTCTTCTTGTCCGGAAACATTCCAGCTGATTGGTCAATTCTTATCTAAAACAACATGCTCCAAATATGCAGACTACATATTTGGAACTTATGCTTGCAATGAACGAAAGTAGTATCTCTGGGAATCTTCAGAATGAAAATGGTAAGGATTTACATCTTGTAACATTTTAAGAATAAAATAAGTTAAGGTGATGATCCAGTTACTAACTGTTCCTATTGGTTGTAGTTGGGGATGCATTTATGAATAGATTCAGTGGAAGATGTTGAAATAGCTATATAAATTTGGTGAAATAGTGTTGTTATTTCTCCATCCAATTAAACGCTAATTACCGAAACTTCTGAAATATGATATTTAGGCGGCGCAATAACTAAAGGAACTTGGTGATAAATGTTTGGTGTTACTAACTTTAAGCACGATTCTGTATTAACATGATGTGTAAATCTAAATTATTTATTTACTTTGATTATTCGTTGTAGGTGCAAATATATGTGTCAGAAGTGCTTGATTGGCACAAGGATCTAAATTCTCAGCAAAAATGGGATGAGAAAACTTATTCTCCCACAAGGAAGAAACTCTTGTCTGCTTTGGAGAACATCTATGGATACAATCCTGAGGTTTTGTTGAAGCGCCTTCCAGTAGATGCTTTATATGAAGAACGAACAATTTCTTTTGGGAAAGATGAACCAACCTTTCGATATACGTGCACAAGGTATTTTTTACAGACTTAGTTAGTTCTATTATCATTTTTGGAGATATTGTGCACTAGTACAACGCTCGTGTATTACACGGGTGCTTGCTAATTTTTTCTTAAAATTTAAAATTAATGAGAAAAAAGTAGTTGAAATTTTAATTATCTTTTATAAATATATATATATATATATATTATTATATATTTTGTATGATTTTTGTGACTTACCTGTGTCATATTATAATAATTATAATATTTTTTTTTTTAACTTACAACATATAACTACATTAAACATAAATATATCAATTGAGAAATAATTTTATTTTTCTAATGAATTTTAATAAATATTGTGATTTTTATAATTATAAAGATAAATATAATCTATTTATTTGATATATACAATATGGATGTCAAATCGAAGATCATAAAAAATGATTAATTTGATATATTATATATATAAAACCGATAAAAAATACAAAAGTTATCAACTTTTAAAATACATTTACAAGTCAATAGCTTATTGAAGAAAACAAATCAAAAGTCAGGGATATATTAGTCACTTAGTGCCTCACTATGTAAAATTACAAAGAATTATAGGGTTATAATAGTACAAGTGATATTAAAATACCTAAGTTAGCTAAATAATATTTATGGAATGTCCGAACCTAGATTATTAATTATTAATATATGAATATTATTTGTCCAAACCTAATTACGAAGCATGATTCTTAGCCAAGTAGGATTACGAAGCACCAGAAGTAGCCACGACGTAGGCTCAGCGTATTCGGGAATTATATATAAGGAGGATTTGATAGAAGATACACATTTGTCCTGAATTTCTTACTTTGTACAAGATCCCTTACCTCCAAGACTTATTCTTAATAAGTTTTATGTGTTTAATATTATTAATTGCTGTTGTCTGAAGGAACCATTATATTTCATTTATAAAATAATGATACTAAAGGTCCTATTAATACAACTGAGACTTATTATGGTATTCAAATCCCATAATTATGGAGCATAATTAACCTTTCCTAACACCTCTATTCTATATAATGTATAATATATTCTAGTACTTTCCCTGGTGCATATACATTGGATATACTCAGCTAATTACAAATGTTACTAAGTTGTACTCCATTTACACCCTTCGCGAATATGTCTCCTAGTTAGTCAAAATGGGATCGGGTGTCCCGAAAAAAACATGTGAGCAAAACATGTGCTGCCAAAGTAGGGATGAAGAGGTTTTTGATGGAAAATGATGGAAATAGGAGTTTCTCATTGTAGAATCACAAAAGACGTGTGATTGATAAAAATACACACGATAGAGATAAGACCATCCAAAAATGTTTAGGAACGTGGATTTCGAACATTAGAGCTCATGCAGCTTCAAGAATATATTATTGATTCTTACGTTGAGCTTCCTTATGTTGGGCCATGTGTCAGCACAAGAAGACTCATGCAAAATACCATGTCGAAACATACAAGATTGAGTAAATGATGAAAAATATTGTTTAGCATTATCTCTTTGCAGGTTATGATCGGAAATGTTAAACTGGTTTTTGATTTCAACAGGAAATTAAGAAAAATGTTGAAAATTTTCAGAATGAATTTTCATGAGATAAACTAAGTAACACAAAAGAAATTATCAATGAAAATAACAGAATATTTTAGGAGGTACGCAACTCGTTTGTTAATCATAGCGCCTAAATGAATACGTGAATTCACGCGAATCACAACGTAAAGAAGACAAGGGAGAAAAACTGTGTACACATCTTCCTAACCTGGAAGGGATTACCGAACTGATAATGTATCTCAAACGATGATGAGGTAGAGCAAACAAGAGATTGTGGTCCATCATGTTCACACCCTCTACCAAGGATCTTCTTTGTCAAAAAATTCTTAAAAATACAATAATCCAGAGAAAAGTAGATGCTACAATTCAAGGATTTGTAAGTTGGCTAACTCATAGGAAGTTGAAAGAGAGATTTGGAAGACAATACGAAACGTAACGTGATATGGACCAACCATTCACAGATCATAAAGAACTAGCGATCACACTTTTCGTCTAAGCCATATACACTTTACTAGGCACTATCCCTGTCGATAACAATTCATTTGTATTTCCCAGTCTAACCATTCACATCAAAATAAAGCAGAATGCATCTATATATGTATTCAGTCACGCTAATAAAAGAAAATGGTTAAACCATTTCATGATATTCCACTGACTAGATTGTCTATCTAGAATTCTAAATTGCTCTATATCACACGGTAAAAAAATTTTCAAACTTCGCCGATATTCTTTATCCAGTCTGGATACTCAACATTCCAGATACTCAACATGGGGGACAAGACCAAGCCTTTGCACAATGGACATAGCTTATGATTGTACAACCATCTGAGTAAGCACTTGGTATGATATTCATGCTCACAATAGTTCGAACCAGTAACGCTAGCACCCTCTAACAATTCATCCTGTGTTTAGTAAGTGGTAAGTGGTAAAAGGTTGAATAAAATAGAGAACACAGATGTCTTGCACATACCCTACAAATAACACAATCAGTTGAGTCGTTAGTGGAGTTGTTAGAGTTTGGTGTATAAGTTCTCATTTTCAGGTAGAATCATTTCTTGAGATAGTCTAGTTCCTTCAGGATATAGTGGCCTTTTGTTTTGTAAATCAGCTTCCTCTTTCTCTTGAAGGATTTCCTCGATAATTATGGTTAGTGCCTGAAAATTGATATACACAAAATTGATATACACATCAACGTTAGACAAATTTCTTGAACACAGTTAGCATTTTCTGTCGATTGTGATGAATGAGTACCCGATTGCTCAGATTATGAAGAACCCCAAACTTCTCAATGGCATCCTCGTGCTCAATGCCATTAATTTTGCCCCATGGAGATCCCTAAGTTTCTATCCAAGCAAGTGATTAAAGCTTAGGCCTACATTTAGGCTCTTTGCTTGATTATGTAATAACTTCTACGAAACAAGAATCTTACTTCTTCACCCAAGCTCAAACATTTCTCAATATGCTCATGTGGTATGATATAGTGATTATCAAACATATCATGTAGGATGAAAATTGTTGCAGAGTTAAGACAATCTTGAGTTTTTGGTGGGTGTCCATTAACATCATGTGATGTAGCATGATAAAGATCAATAAGTAGATTAATATAAAATACATTTTGTATTCGTAAAATAAAAACAAAATAATCTACAGAGTTCAAATAATAGGTGGCATACAAAAACAAGCTATAGCATTATACGATCCTTTCTCAAGGTCGGCGACTCAAGCTCAGGAGGATCCGATGTACTGCCGATATACTGCTTCCTGTTGACATTTTACCTACAAATGTATACGGTTTTACAAGTCGGTCAAAGTTTTCAAAAGCACTTTATGTCTGTGAAGTAATGAAATCTTCTCGCTTTTACAATATACCAAAATATGAACTTTTCTGCAATGTGCAATCTTGATGGACTTTGACTTGTAAAACCGTATACATTTGTAGGTAAAATGTCAACAAGAAGCAGTACATCGGATTCTCCTGGGGTTGGGTCGCCGAAATTGAGAAGGGATCGTATAATGATACAACTTCTTTTTGTATATCACCTGTTATTTGAACTTTGTAGATTATTTTGTTTTTATTTTACAAATACAAAATGTATGCTATTATTAATATATTTAATGGTCTTTATCATGCTACATCACATGATGTTAATGGACACTTACAGGTAACTCAATGTCGTCATAACTCTGCAGCTAGTTTATGTTTGACAATCACTGAGAAATACTTGAGCTTCGGTGAAGAAGTAAGAATCTTGTTTCCTAGAAATTATAATATAACTAAGCTGAGAGCTTAAATATAGGCCCAAACTTTGATAACTTGCTTTAGAAACTTAGGGATTTCTTTGGGGCAAAATTAATGGAATTGAGCATATACATATGGAGGATGTCATTGAGAAGTTTGGGACACTTCATAATTTGAGCAATCAGGTGCATTAATCGAAATCGACAGAAAATGTTAAGTGTGTTCAAGAAATTTGTATGACGTTAATGTGTAAATTAGTTTAATGGCTATATCAATTTTCAGGCACTAAACTCCATTATCAAAGAGCACCTTCAAGAGAAACAAGAAGCTGATTTACAAAACAAAGTGCACTATATCCTGAAGGAACTAGATTATCTCAGGAAATGATTCTACGTGGCCTGAAAATGAGAACTTGTGCACCAAACCCTTAAAACTCCACTAACGACGCAACTGATTGTGTTATTTGCGGTATGTGCAATGACAACTGTGTTATCTGTTTTTTTTTCAACCTTTTACCACGCCACTTACTTGACATACCTGGTGTTGCAGGGTGACATGTTAGAGGGTGCTAGTGTTGCTGGTTCGAATATTGTGAGCATGAGTATCATACCAAGTGCTTACTCAAATGGCTGTATGACCCTAGGCTATTTCCATTGTGCAAAGCCTTGGCCTTGGTCTTGTAGACCCAAGCTGAATATCCAGACTGGATAAAGGATATCGACAAAGTCCGAAATTTTCTTTCCCGTATGTTGTGGGGAAATTTAGAATTTTAAACTGACAATCTAGTCAGTGGAATATCAAACCATTTTTTTTATTAGCGTGACTGAGTACATATATATAAATAGATGCATTCTGCTTTATTATGATCTGCGAATATGATCTGCGAATAGTTGGACTAAAAAATATACAAATTGTTATCGACAGGGATAATGACTAGTAAAAGTGTATATGGCTTAGACGAAAATTTTGGAGACCTTTCATCGACCAAGTTTGAATTTTAAATGGTGTAGTAACCTTTCATCTCCCCATGCAAATTGTCTCTCTCTCTCTCAGTTACTATAAAAGGTGGACTTCAACACTTGTCTTCACTTTACATATCCCAACTATCCTAAGAAGAAAATAGTTCTAAGTCCCTTAACACTAGCAAAAGTCTGGCCACCACTTCCATTTTCCGAGCATTTTCCGGCGAGACCAAGCAACACCCTA